GATGGGTAAGGGGGGGTTGGCATGGGGGATGGGTAAGGGGGGATGGGTAAGGGGGGGTTAGGAGGGGGGTTGGCATGGGGGATAAGGTAAGGGGGGGTTGGCATGGGGGATAGGTAAGGGGGGGTTGGCATGGGGGATAGGTAAGGGGGGGGTTGGCATGGGGGATAGGTAAGGGGGGGTTGGCATGGGGGATAGGTAAGGGGGGGATAGGTAAGGGGGGGTTGGGATGGGGGGATAGGTAAGGGGGGGATAGGTAAGGGGGGGTTGGGATGGGGGGATAGGTAAGGGGGGTGGGATGGGGGGATAGGTAAGGGGGGTGGGATGGGGGGATAGGTAAGGGGGTGGGATGGGGGGATAGGTAAGGGGGGTGGGATGGGGGGATAGGTAAGGGGGGGGATGGGTTAGTGGGTGGGATGGTAAAGGGGGTGGGGGATGGGTATGGGGATGGCTTAGGGGGTTGTGGGGAACAGGGTTCGGGGATGGGGATGGCTAAGGGGGGGATGGAGATGGCTAAGTGGAGATGGGGATGGCTAAGGGGGTGGGGCGAAGCGGGTGGGTGTGTGGGATGGGAGTGCGTAAGGGTTGGAGGGATGGGGATGAGGATGGCTAAGGGGGTGGGTGGGATGGGGATGTGTAACATTACTTTTTAAAGTGTTTCATCTCATCCTCCCCCCCCCCCCCAACACCATTTTTCCCACCCCCTCTTCGTAACAAAAGTCACACAATTTTAAAACCCCGTGCTCCACCCCACACCCCCTCACCTAATTTTAAGTGCGGCGTCGTATATTAAACTACCTATAAAACAATACGTTTTATACATCGCACATATTTCTCCCAATACAAAGTTAAAAACAAAACAATAGGTCACAGTGACTGTGTTGGTACACTTCAGCACACGTGTCATTTACACGTGTAGCGATAAGACATTGGGGTCAGCCGTATTTTTGTGACGTCATCCCCTGCCAACTTTTTAATCATAGAATTGGATTTGTTGTCAACCTAAGCACAACCTGCTTGATTTAATTTTAGAAATGTGTAATAAACCTATTTTAGAGTCTCGTGTCTTTATATAGACCTTGATATCAGTGTTGAAATAGTTTGTGTTTCAAGTTCAGATAAAAACAACATCTGACATCAGCTACAGAACGAAGCTTCAAACTGGCTGTTGTTTACTGGACTAATGTATAGATGTACTTTGAATATCTTAGACAAAAACGTATTTTTAAAACACTTTATCTTCTTACATTTTTACATGCTGTTTCTATCAGCTAAAGGAATAAGATTAAAAAAGGCTCGCGTTTAGTACTTTATGTGAAACTGCTCAACTAATGTATACATCTACTTCAGTATCAGACCAAAAAAGGTAATTTTTTTTTACACTTTTTCTTCTTTCATTATTGCCGTGTCCAAAGTGTTTTTTGTTTAGTTTTTAGAAAATACAATTAAGTTTTGATGCAATTGTTGAGTGGAGTTTATCAGATCACGTATCTGTGTATCTTATAGTAATTTATAGTTATCTCCCTTGTTCAAAGAGTGCTTTCTCCAATAGAGATGTCATCAAAAAGTTTGAGGCAAGTCAGGATTGTAAAACTTCAACTGGCGGTTTTAGAGGAACAAAAAGTTCAACTTGAAACTGTGGTACAGAAGATGAAAGCGGTGAGTTCAATATAGATATCTAGGTGGTTGATTCATTCAAATCTATGTAGGTGGTTTATTAAGCCCCCAGGGGGCAGCGGGGGGGGGGGGGGGTGCGAAAAGATGCCTGAAAGAAACAGACCTACCTCAAAATATGTTTATCCTTATGTCATAATTACATTGTTAGTTAATTAGGTCATATCTATATAATGATTCGAGGCTAAAGGTCAGCCAATGTCCCTTATTCCAACCAAAAAATATGTTTCTAGGTTCTTGTGGAAGGCCAAACATGGATAAATTCCTATTCACCCCAAACCGGACTTTGCTACCATCATTCAAACAATTGAAAACACGACAGACTTTGTTATAGAAAACTGCCACCAGATCTTGCTTGAAAATGGTAAATAAATCATCGGATATTTTGTGATTGTATTTAACATCTTGGGTTAAATAAATCATCGGATTTTTTGTGATTTTATTTAACATCTTGGGTTAAATAAATCATCGGATTTTTGTGATTTTATTTAACATCTTGGGTTGAATAAATCATCGGATTTTTTGTGATTTTATTTAACATCTTGGGTTAAATAAATCATGGGATTTTTGTGATTTTATTTAACATCTTGGGTTAAATAAATCATCGGATTTTTGTAATTTTATGCAACATCTTGGGTTAAATAAATCATCGGATTTGTGTGATTTTTATTTAACATCTTGGGTTAAATAAATCATCGGATTTGTGTGATTTTATTTAACATCTTGGGTTAAATAAATCATCGGATTTTTGTGATTTTATGCAACATCTTGGGTCTAAATAAACCAAATTGAGCTGCAGTAAATATATTTCATCTTAAGGAAAGTTAATATATTTGATCATATCAAAAGTAAATATATTTGATCATAGCGAAAGTAAATATATTTGACCTTAAGAAAAGTTAATATATTTGATCATAATGAAAATAAATATATTTGATCATATTGAAAGTAAATATATTTGATCACAGCGAAAGTAAATATATTTCATCACAGTGAAATATTTATATACATATGAAATGTGCGAATATTGGTTTAAATTCTAAAATGACTTTGGTGTTTAGTGGGGTGGGGGGGGGGGTAACACAATGAACTTTGAGCGCCCATTGCTATCAGGCTAAACATTGACTAACTAATCTAACTCAAACATAACCGCTTCTGCCGCTCAGGAGACAGACAGAACACAACAGAAAAAGTTACAGTATGCGTGAAACAGTCGCCAGCAGTTGTTAAACAGTCACCAGCAGTTGTAGAGCAGTCACCAGCAGTTGTTAAACAGTCGTCAGCAGTTGTTAAACAGTCGTCAGCAGTTGTTAAACAGTCGTCAGCAGTTGTAGGGCAGTCGCCAGCAGTTGTTAAACAGTCGTCAGCAATTGTAGAGCAGTCACCAGCTGTTGTAGAGCAGTCGCCAGCAGTTGTAGAGCAGTCGCCAGCAGTTGTAGAGCAGTCGCCAGCAGTTTTAGAGCAGTCGCCAACAGTCGTAAAACAGTCGCCAGCAGTTCTTAAACAGTCGCCAGCAGTTGTAGAGCAGTCGCCAGCAGTTTTAGAGCAGTCGCCAGCAGTTGTTACACAGTCGCCAATAGTTGTAGAGCAGTCGCCAACAGTTGTAGAGCAGTCGGCAGCAGTCACCTCACCTGCTTCGATGAGACCGAAGACACAAAAAGTCCACAAGAAGAAACAGACGACATTTTCATCAGCACTGGACGTTGTTTGCACTGAGCAAGCAACACAAACTGGTACGGTCATTACCAATTCTAAATGTTAGCTAAAATTTCAAGTCAATCGCGAATGTGTTTTGTTTTCGTCAAATAGATCACATATATGACTGAGTTGAGTTTTTACTTTTAACGCAACATACATAAATGCTATGCTCGAAATTAACAATCAATGAAATATTTGGTGTTTTTGACACATTTAAGAAAATATTTATCGACTTCATAAAACTATTGAGTCAACTGAAGTCTGGTTAAGTGACGTCATCTGTGGGTTATAATGTAAATATAGTTAGTTTTGGTGACGTCATTACTCAGCCTGTATCTGATCACGCTGACCACGTCATTGTTTTATGAAATTTATTTTTTTACCAGATTGTGAACCAACTGGAAGTGACGTAACAAATAAAGAAACTGGTATCGAGGCCGCTGAACCCGCGCATGCGCCGTGTGAGAGCGGTCCCAGAAATGTTGACGTCTGCCTGTGGAGCGGAAACAACGCCATCTGTGATGACGACCGATCCAGTCAAGTGGCAGCTCTAGAGACCAAAGTGTTGGAACAAGAGAGAAGATACAGAGATTTAGAGGAGATTGTCGGGAAATTGCAGAAAAAGCACGAAGAAGAAGATATATCACAACACGGCGGTACTAAGACACATGTAAGAAACCTTAAAGATACCAGAAATAATAAGGTCAACGACAACCAACCGCCATTAACGTGTGTGGAAGTAAATAATGTCAGCACCACGTCATTCACAAAAGGTAAGCAACAACCAATGTTGGACTGGGGCTAGAACGGGATGGCGGTACTAGAAGATTAAGTCAGACATGACCTAGAACGGGATGGCGGTACTAGAAGATTTAGTCAGACATGACCTACAACGGGATGGCGGTACTAGAAGATTTAGTCAGACATGACCTAGAACGGGATGGCGGTACTAGAAGATTTAGTCAGACATGACCTACAACGGGATGGCGGTACTAGAAGATTTAGTCAGACATGACCTAGAACGGGATGGCGGTACTAGAAGATTTAGTCAGACATGACCTACAACGGGATGGCGGTACTAGAAGATTTAGTCAGACATGACCTAGAACGGGATGGCGGTACTAGAAGATTAAGTCAGAAATGACCTAGAACGGGATGGCGGTACTAGAAGATTAAGTCAGACATGACCTAGAACGGGATGGCGGTACTAGAAGATTTAGTCAGACATGACCTAGAACGGGATGGCGGTACTAGAAGATTTAGTCAGACATGACCTACAACGGGATGGCGGTACTAGAAGATTTAGTCAGACATGACCTAGAACGGGATGGCGGTACTAGAAGATTAAGTCAGACATGACCTAGAACGGGATGGCGGTACTAGAAGATTAAGTCAGACATGACCTAGAACGGGATGGCGGTACTGGAAGATTAAGTCAGACATGACCTAGAACGGGATGGCGGTACTAGAAGATTAAGTCAGACATGACCTAGAACGGGATGGCGGTACTGGAAGATTAAGTCAGACATGACCTAGAACGGGATGGCGGTACTAGAAGATTAAGTCAGACATGACCTAGAACGGGATGGCGGTACTAGAAGATTAAGTCAGACATGACCTAGAACGGGATGGCGGTACTGGAAGATTAAGTCAGACATGACCTAGAACGGGATGGCGGTACTAGAAGATTAAGTCAGACATGACCTAGAACGGGATGGCGGTACTAGAAGATTAAGTCAGACATGACCGTCTTCGTCATTATCTACTCCCAATTTAACAGCAGCCATTTAAAACGACCATTTTTTTTTTGTTCCTTCAATTATTTTCTTTTTTTTTTCGAACTTTTTCTAATATTTTTCATCTTTCAATTCTCTTCACCAAATCGTTTTTTTTCTTCCTATATAAACACTTCACCTCCAGATGAATGTATTAGAGTTGAATTATTACGTTGACTTGTAAGAATTTTTTTAAAGATGTGTGAAAAGCTCACGTTCAAACATTTCCCCAGCTCCCTCGCTAGCCCCGGCTGTCACCGCCTGTATCCCGTACGGCGTTTCGGTCGACGTCTTCACCGGATCTGTTCTCACCTGCTTCAACGACGTTGTCTGCAACACCGGGGACCAGTATGACCCCGTGACCGGCGAGTTCAAGGCCGACCTCGACGGCCTTTACCTGGCTTCCATCTCTCTCAGACAGCTCGGCACCGGCTACATTTGCATTGACGTCATGTCCAGAACTCGTGGGGCTCTCCGTAACGAGAGGAAGGTGTGTGGGGCCCACACCCTGATGCCAGACACCAGTGCCAGTGGTCTGGGCGTGGTCCAGCTGAGGGAAGGTGACGTCATCTATTTAAAAGGTCTTCAGAGAGGCGGCGCCAAGCTCAACATGCATTCCAGCTTTTCGTGTTTTATGATCAGATGATCAAATCAAGAGAGTTCAATACATTAGGATCAAATGATCAAACTTTTAAGTTTCATGGCTGAATGTTCAGATGATAAAATCAAGAGAGGTCAATACATTAGGATCAAATGATCAAACTTTTAAGTTTTATGGCTGAATGTTCAGATGATAAAATCTAGAGAGTTCAATACATTAGGATCAAATGATCAAACTTTTAAGTTTTATGGCTGAATGTCCAGATGTTAAAATCTAAAAAATATAAATTTTGTCAACATGTTTCTTGATCAGATGATCAAATCAAGAGAGGTCAATACATTAGGATCAAATGATCAAACTTTTACGTTTCAAGGCTGAATGTTCAGATGATACAATCTAAAAAACAATATGTCAATATGTTTCTTGATCAGATGATCAAATCTAGAGAGTTCAATACATTAGCATCAAATGATCAAACCTATAAATTTCATGACTGAATGTTCAGAAGATAAAATCTAAAAAAAAAAAATTTTGTCAAAAAGTTTCTTGATCAGATTATCAAATCTTTAGAGTTCAAGACACAACAATCAAATGATCAAACTTATAAGTTTTCATTTCAGGGCTGAATGATCAGACTATAAAATATTATGCAAATGTGATGAGATGATCAAATCCGGAGGTTTTATGATCGAATTAAAAACGGACTGTCTATAAATAAAGCTACAATATTTTAATCGTCATAACAACCAGCCCAAAAAAGAACACTAGATCGGCCCTCCACTGACATCATTTTGACGTCACAACGGTCAACGCCGCACCCCCATACCCCCCTAAAACACTGGTAACCCTGCTATTAATCAGCTAGTTAGCCCGAAGATTTACCCCAAAAAAGCTAGAAGGCAAATCTTGAATTCCCCCCCTCCACACACCCACCCATAGGAAATCGTCGCTAAAGTCTACACCCTCTTGCCCCTTACCAGCTCCCACAACACCCTCCTCCCACCCCCTCCTACATCGTCGTTTGACGCTATTTATATACATTGCTTATAGACTGCTATAGATCACAATTAATCTAGATTTTGTTTCTAAATTTCGTTTTAGAAAATGTTAAAATCTGATGTTTTGGTCAATCTTGCTAACTAATGCCTACAAGAAAGTGTCCCAATATATTTAAAACCAAACGAGAGTTCAGTATTTATAAAATTATTTGAAATCGGAAAAATGTTAATAAAATCAAATATTTGAATGTGTTCAATGTTTTTGTTTTGTTTTTTAAATTAATGTTTACTTATTACCATCTCTCGAATTCATAAAATGAGTTAAAGACAATTACTGTGGTTATGTTCACAAAGATATGTACCCTAATTGTTACTAAGTCATTAATTTATACTAATTAATAAGTAAAACCGCACCCCCTTCCAACGCGGAGGTTATTTTTAATTAGTAAAACTGGCTTTAAAATGAAGTGTATTCAATGCTTATTAAACAATATGATTTGCACCACCAACCTACTGTGTGAAAGCACCACCAACCTACTGTGTGAAAGCACCATCAACCTACCTAATGTATGAGTCTACTACCAATCTACTGTGTGAGGGCACCACAACCTACCTACTATGCGGTTACCACCAACCTACTGTATGAGGTTACCACCAACCTACTGTATGAGGTTACCACCAACCTACTGTATGAGGTTACCACCAACCTACTGTATGAGGTTACCACCAACCTACTGTATGAGGTTACCACCAACCTACTGTATGAGGTTACCACCAACCTACTGTATGAGGTTACCACCAACCTACTGTATGAGGTTACCACCAACCTACTGTATGAGGTTACCACCAACCTACTGTATGAGGTTACCACCAACCTACTGTATGAGGTTACCACCAACCTACTGTATGAGGTTACCACCAACCTACTGTATGAGGTTACCACCAACCTACTGTATGAGGTTACCACCAACCTACTGTATGAGGTTACCACCAACCTACTGTATGAGGTTACCACCAACCTACTGTATGAGGTTACCACCAACCTACTGTATGAGGTTACCACCAACCTACTGTGTGAGGGTTTTCTGTGGGAGGGGAGGAATACGAGGAGGTTTTGATGTGTAGTGAATCTAGGAAGAGAGCGAATGATGGGCTTTTGAGGGGGGTGGGGTAATATATCTATGGTACCACGATGTCACCCTTATATATATATATATATATATATATATATATATATATATATATATATATATATATATATATATATATATATATATAAAATTCTCTTATTGGAGACAATAGAAAACACCAAGCTGTAAGCGCGCTCCCTACCACACCCATCCCGACATGGTCTGGTGAGCTGTGGTTCAAGCTAAATGTTTACCATGGTAAAGCCGGGTTAAGTGACGGCTATTAGGGGCAGATAATTTAGTTTGAAACTTTTTTAAACTTAGGGGAGGTAACTAAGAGGCGGCTGTTTTCACGGGGGAGGGGTGTCGGGGTTGGGGAAAGGAAGGGGGAGGGGTTACCGTCCATAAGGAGCTACTGATAGTGTTTTAAAGCAAATATATACAGTGGCAGCATTGGTACTGTTGAATTCACAAATTATGAATTACTGTAAAGTAGAAAATTAAACAACTAAATAGCGGCGTATGATACGCCGCGGGTCTGCTTGTATATATATATATATATATATATATATATATATATATATATATATATATATATATATATATATATATATATATATATATATATATATATATATATATACATATATATATATATATATATATATATATATATATATATATATATATATATATATATATATATATATATATATATAAGCGTTAAATTTCACCAAATATCTATAAATCGTGAAATTTTCTTAAACTAAAAACACAGTGTGCACGATTTCGCTCCCTAGTTCCTGTTCAAAAAGATTTCACCTTGCTGCCTTCCATCTAGGAAAACATTGCGTTTTTAACTTGTTTTGATTCTATCTTGAGAGAGAAACGATGTAGCCTTCAGCTTTTGTTTTGGTTTGGAGAGTTAACAGCGCTTGAAATGATCAGCCGGGCAACTTACATCCTCCTTATCATCGCCACATATCCGCACGGTAAGTTTGAATGACTTGTTTTGGTATTTCTTCATATATGATGCATTGAGTTTGCAAAACATGAGACAACAATTAATCAAATGTCACTTAGAAAGAGGTAATGAATAGAACTCTTCCGACTCAAGTACCGATTGGTTGCTTAACAATGGTTGTTTAGATAGAAATATTTGAGGCTGAAAACTTAAGTGATTGGGGAGGGGGGAGGAAACGGGAAAAACGGTCGTTCATGTACCTGGTTTTTACCAGCGGAAATGAAATATTTATTGGACAGCAAGCCTCAATCTTGGGTTTTTTTTCAGTGCAGCAGCCAATATTTGAACTACCAACAATGTACATCCATCAGTATTTGACAACTACCAATTCATTACAAATACCAATATTTGACAACTACCAACAAAGTACACCAACCAATATTTGACAACTACCAACAAAGTACAACAACCAATATTTGACAATTACCAACCAACATTTGGCAACTACCAACAAAGTAAAACAACCAACATTTGACAACTACCAACAAAGTACAACAAACAACATTTGACAACTACCAACAAAGTACAACAACCAACATTTGACAATTACCAACAAAGTACAACAACCAACATTTGACAACTACCAACAAAGTACAACAACCAACATTTGACAACTACCAACAAAATAAAACAACCAACATTTGACAAACACCAACAAAGTAAAACAACCAACATTTGACAACTACCAACCAACATTTGACAACCACCAACTGCCCACAACAACCCGCACATGACAAGTAGCACATATTACAATATTTTTTCCAGATGTCAAGTGCATGGTCAAGAACAACAAAGGTAGGTGGAAATGTTGATCAGCATTTTATTGTCTGTTGCCATCAATATTACATATTACATTTTGTTAGGCTACAAGAAAAATCCCCCCCCCCCTGGACGTTCACCCCCCCCCCCCCCCCGTATTTACCCCGAAAAAATTACCCCCTGTCAATTACCTCCCTGTCAATACCCCCAGGGGAATTATCTCCCGCCTCTTGGGTAAGAATCCTACTTCTAACTAGAATTCTATACCTATATACTACTTTAATCCTAACCTTAAGAAAAGGACCAAAAGGAAAGCATCCACCTTAGAACAAAACTTAACACAAAGCCAAAGCCAACGCTAGACATTTGTTTAAACCTAACCCTAACTCTAACTCCAACCCTAACCCTACTAACCTTACTAACCCTACTAACCCTACAACCCCTGCTAACCCTACTAACCCTACTAACCCTACTAACCCTACTTACCCTAACCCTACTAACCCAATTAACCCTACTAACCCTAACCCTACTAACCCAACTAACCCTACTAACCCTAGTAAGCCTACTAACCCTACTAACCCTAACCCTAATAACCCTACTAACCCTACTAACCCTAACCCTACTAACCCTACTAATCCTAAAAACCCTATAAACCTAACCCTACTAACCCTACTAACTCTACTAACCCTAAAAACCCTACTAACCCTACTAACCCTACTAACCCTACTTACCCTACTAACCCTACTAACCCTACTAACCCTAACCCTACTAATCCTACTAACCCTACTAACCCTACTCACCCTAACCCTACTAACCCTACTAACCATACTAACCATACTAACCATACTAACCATACTAACCCTAAAAACCCTACTAACCCTACTAACCCTACTAACCCTACTAACCCTACTAACCCTACTAACCCTACTAACCCTACTAACCCTACTAACCCTACTAACCCTACTAACCCTACTAACCCTACTAACCCTACTAACCCTACTAAACCTACTAACCCTACTAACCCAACTAACCCTACTAACCCTACTAACCCTACTAACCCTAACCCTACGAACCCTACTAACCCTATTAACCCTAACCCTACTAACCCTACTTACCCTAACCCTACTAACCCTACTAACCCTACTAACCCTACTAACTATACTAACCCTACTAACCCTAACCCTAATAACCCTACTAACCCTACTAACCCTAACCCTTCTAACCCTACTAACCCTAACCCTACTAACCCTACTAACCCTAACCCTACGAACCCTACTAACCCTATTAACCCTAACCCTACTAACCCTACTAACCCTACTTACCCTAACCCTACTAACCCTACTAACCCTACTAACTATACTAACCCTACTAACCCTAACCCTACTAACCCTACTAACCCTAATAACCCTAACGCTACTAACCCTACTAACACTAACCCTACTAACCCTACTAACCCTAACCCTACTAACCATACTAATCCTACTAACCCTATTAACCCTAACCCTACCAACCCTACTAACCCAACTAACCCTACTAACCCTACTAACCCTACTAACCCTACTAACCCTACTAACCCTACTAACCCTACTAACCCTACTAACCCTACTAACCCTACTAACCCTACTAACCCTACTAACCCTACTAACCCTAACCCTACTAACCCTACTAACCCACTAACCCTACTAACCCTACTAACCCTACTAACCCTACTAACCCTACTAACCCTACTAACCCTACTAACCCTACTAACCCTACTAACCCTACTAACCCTACTAACCCTACTAACTCTACTAACCCTACTAAGTCTACTAACCCTACTAACCCAACTAACCCTACTAACCCTACTAACCCTACTGACCCTACTAACCCTACTAACCCTACTAACCCTACTAACCCTACTAACCCTACTAACCCTACTAACCCTACTAACCCTACTAACCCTACTAACCCAACTAACCCTACTAACCCTACTAACCCTACTAACCCTACTAACCCTAACCCTACTAACCCTACTAACCCTACTAACCCTACTAACCCTACTAACCCTACTAACCCATCTAACCCTACTAACCCTACTAACCCTACTAACCCTACTAACCCTACTAACCCTTCTAACCCTACTAACCCTACTAACCCTACTAACCCTACTAACTCTACTAACCCTACTAAGTCTACTAACCCTACTAACCCAACTAACCCTACTAACCCTACTAACCCTACTGACCCTACTAACCCTACTAACC